GTTTCCATATAAACATAATGAAGCCTCCAAATTAATGCTGATCATTACTCACTGAGCAATAAAGCAGGGACATGCCTCATCTACCATAAGCAACAGCACACAGAATACCTATCTGCATAGTTCTTAAACGAAACAAAATATGTGTAACCCATGAGCCATTGCATACAGGTTTAGTTACTACTATACATCTCTATATAATCTGAAAGATGATCCAACCAACCCCTCATTTCTTAACCTCAGTTAATCTACCTACATTATCTGCTTTGGCCAGAGAAGAAGCTGCTGAAGCATGATCTTTGCTTCATCAGCTTTAGTGGAGTCCATAGGTGATATTAGGGGTCTAATAGACTACTGATGTCTCCAAAAATTTGACCTTTACCCTTTATTGGAAGACTCTCTGATTCTAATATAAGACATTTAAATAATCGTGAAACGGTACCAAATTATTTATATAGATATTCAATCAACCATGCTAATTTTATTATATTATTTTGCTTGTTACTAATTTCACTTAAACATCCTTTATCTGAAATATCTGAGCTATAATGTCAAACTAGGTTTCTGGCCATAAGCCATGATGCTAGCTTAGGCACACTGCTTGTTTACAAAGATACTATTAAGAGGGAGTTTTAGCGGGATCCTGAGGTAATAAAATTGAGTTGTCATTCTATCTATTTTTTTTTGAGGATATATATATTACAAATATCATTAGAAAAGCTGAATATAGAGTGCTCTTCTTCAAACACATTCAGCTGCCAAGTTGATGTAGCAGAAAATGGCAAGGAAAATTAAGAGCAGAGTAAGAGAGATATTTCTCATATGCATATATTAACATGTCATATCCTCCAATTCAAATGCCCTGGCAGTTGGGTTACTAACAGGCATGATTACAAGGCGGAATCCAGATTACCCCTCCTTTCACCCCTATATACTCTCCATGAGTAATTACTCACTCAGAGATATCCCAACTTCAAACTGGACCCCAGTTCCATTCAGCTATACGCTTGACTTCAGCTGTTCAGCTGTTTGGCTCAGGCAAAGTGCAGAAGGAGTTAGACTCAGACAATCCAACATCTCACTCGCTGCCATTCGCCCCTATTCTCATAGAATAATTATTTAAATAAATGTAAAAAAAAATATAACATTTTTAAAAAGTTAAGAAAATGAAAAAATGAAAAGAAAAGAAGAAAAAAAAGTGTGCGGTCCCCCTCCCAAACCATACCAGACACTTTAGGTCTGGTAGGAAACTTAGGAGGGACCCCTACCCATTCACTAAAGGGTTAAAATAAAGTAAGTAAAAAGACCAGACTTTTGAAAAAATCCTTCATTTGAAAAAAACCCAAAGGATTTTTGACAAGTCCTTTAAAAAAATCCCCCCCCCCCAAAAAAAATGAATCCACCGATGTAATCCTAGGGTCAATCATGATGTCCAGCACTAGCCACGACGATGACGACTCAACAAAATAAAACAGAAGATTCATAGAAATAATAAAGAACAAACGACGCCCACCGACCCATCTGCTCATGAAGAACTGCCGCCATAGAATGGCGTTCTGACAGATGCCGGCAAAACAAACAATTGGACAGAGCTAGCGGTGACATTACTTCTAGCTCCGCCGAACTGTTTTCATGTAATGACAGCCCAGTGTCCTCGAGGACGATGGGCTGTCATTGAAAGACAACAACTGGGCGGAGCTATAAGTGACATTGCGGCTGGCTCCTCCCAGCTGTTGCCTTTCGCAGGGAGATCGGTCGGCTTTGGCCGACCTTTCTCCCTGCTTCAGGTGTCAGTACGGCTCAGCCGAGATGAAGCATACGTGTTTGGCTCGGTTGCCGTCGGCTGCTGTATGGGCTATTGTGAATAGCCTGTACAGCAGCCTTTCAGTTCGACTGAACCGAAGGGCTCAGTTGACCGAAGTGAGCCTAAGGATCAGCTGAAGCTACGGCTGGATCCCTCGGCTCTTTTTTGAAAAACCCTCTAAGTCTCTGCCAATTAATGTTGAATTTGCTGCTTATAGCAGTTCTGCTAGACAGATTGGTATCTCTAGCAGGTCAGCCAGCAACACACATGGACATGTGCTCATCTGGGAAAGGCTCTTGGGTAATTGAGGTACATCTGTTGTTATTGGTTAAAATATTGCATAAAAAGAGCTGCAATGCTGACATTCAGAGAAATAAGAAAACTGGTGTTGTTGGCCTAGTTTTTAAAAAGTGCAGGCTTTTGGGGCTTTCATTGTGACCATTAATTTTCTCATTTAAAAAATACTAACCTGAAACAATTATGCAGCCAGTGAAGTCTAAAATGCTGAACTCCTGTTCTGCAAACCTGTTTTAAGGCATAGACTTGCAAGGTACCTAAACCATAATCAGGACAACAGTATCAGAGCCTGTGCCTTTTAGAAGTTAGCTATGGCAGGTTCGCTTTTTCTTTCCACACAGGCCTCCTTTAAAATTCTCAGTTCTGACTACTGCTTTTCTACTAATTTCTTAGGTAACTGCTAACACCAATGATCTTTTTTTTTAGCTCGTAAAAGGGGCAATTGTCCAATAATGTTATAGAATATTTCTAGCCCACGGATTATTAATGTAAAGATCATTCTTCCTTAACCAGAACACCAATTTAAGGGATATTTTTCCTGATATTAACTGCCACTGTAAGAGAGCCCTTCTTTGTCTCTGATGACCAAAGTAGGGTGCACTTTTCCACTGACCACCAATGTGAGTGGGCATTTCTACACAGATCACAAAGGGTCACTACACTGCCCATTATTGGAAAAGAGCACAACAAAGAAAACCGACATAAGGGGACGCTTTTCATCTATTTAAGCATACACTGTAGTTTTCACGATATGCCTTTCTTTTCTTTTTGTTTGTTTGAGTTCCTATTTCTTCTCGTGCTACCATATGAGGATTATGTCAAATCTTTATGAACATATGTATATAGTTCTAATTATTCTATGTTGGGTGATTGAATGGGAGTAATAAAAAAGTGTCTTTTGTGATTGAATACAGGGGGATTATGAATGTAATTATTGATCTACTCAGGCGTACTCTGTTAATTGCAGATGGTCAAGACAGGAACAATAGGATCATAGATATGTTGGCACTAACAGATTGTTTATCTGGACAATGTGTGCAAACTATCTTTTGTCTCTGGCTTCAAAGGATCCCCATATTTAGATACATAATTAGATTGTCCACCCTTGTAAAGATAAAATCTTGGCCTGGGTTTAGCCTACAGACATCTGTGCATTTTCAATATACCTCTGAATTTTGGTACAGTTAAAGTCATTAAAAATTTGCATAGTTGACTTGTGTATATAGTGACAAGTGGTCTTGTAGAGAGCCAAGAGTGGTCCTGTCTGGGGTTTATGTATCACCCAGGTCCTGTTTTACACCTTTTGGGACCTCTAGTCAGCCCCAGGTTTTACACCTTGCTGCAATGGCAATTCAGTGCTGGTGAGACAACAGTGCTCTGGAGCCTGGTGAGCAGACAGACTGCATCTGCTGGAGCCAAATGTTAGTCACTGTGATTAGGTTTGTGCCAGCTGATAGTTAGGAATGTGTGTTTAGTTAAGGAATGTGTGTTTAGTTAGTGCCAGGATATGGCTAGGTTTTTGTTTTGGAGTTTTTAGATTTCATTTGAGCACTGTACAGCGCTGTAAATAACCTGTGTGAAGCACCTATAAATGCACCGCTGCTTCAAGATAAGTCTCATTTATTATCAGTCAACTGTGTTTACTCTTTTTCAATCATAATGACAACAGAAACTACCCAAATGACCCTGATCAAAAGTTTACATACCCCAGTTCTAAATACGGTGTGTTGCCCCCTTTAACATCAATGACTGCTTGTCTTTTGTGGTATGTGTGGATGAGGCTCTTTATCTTCTCAGATGGTAAAGCTGCCCATTCTTCCTGGCAAAAAGCCTCCAGGTCCTGTAAATTCTTGGGCTGTCTTGTATGAACTGCACATTTGAGATCTCCCCAGAGTGGCTCAATGATATTGAGGTCAGGAGACTGAGATGGCCACTCCAGAACGTTCACTTTATTCTGCTGTAGCCAATGACAGGTCGACTTGGCCTTGTGTTTAGGATCATTGTCATGTTGGAATGTCCAAGTACGTCCCATGCGCAGCTTCCAGGCTGATGCATGCAAATTGTCCTCCAGTATCTTTTGATAACATACTGCATTCACCGTGCCATCAATTCTGACCAACTGTCCTGTGCCTTTGTAGCTCACACATCCCCAAAACATCAGCGATCCACCTCCGTGTTTCCCAGTAGGAATGGTGTACTTTTCATCATAGGCCTTGTTGACTCCTCTCCAAATGTAGCGTTTATGGTTGTGGCCGAAAAGCTCAATTTTGGTCTCATCACTCCAAATGACTTTGTGCCAGAAGGTTTGAGGCTTGTCTCTGTGCTGTTTGGCGTATTGTAAGCGGGATATTTTGTGGCATTTGCATAGTAATGGCTTTCTTCTGGTGACTCGACCATGCAGCCCATCTTTCTTCAAGTGCCTCCTTATTGTGCATCTTGCATTGTGCATCTTGCAACAGCCACACCACATGTTTTCAGAGTGTATTTCACCTGATGTTATTTGTGGGTTTTTCTTTGCATCCAGAACAATTTGTGGCTGACAGTTTAGTTGGTCTACCTGACCATGGTTTGGTTCCACTTCTTGATTAGAGTTTGAACACTGCTGATTGGCATTCTCAATTCCTTGAATATCTTTTTATATCCCTTTCCTGTTCAATACAGTTCAACTACCTTTTCCCGCAGGTCCTTTGACAATTCTTTTGCTTTCCCCATGACTCAGAATCCAGACACGATAGGGCAGCACTGGATGAAGGATGCAAGGGTCTGTCAGGAGGCCAGAAACTCATTGGCCTTTTATACACACACGCTGATTACATGCAAACAGATCACAGGTGAGGATGGTTCCCTTTAATAGCCATTCACACCCCTTTGTGTCAACCTGTGTGCATGGTATCAGGCCAAAATCACAAGGATATGTAAACTTTTGATCAGAGTCCTTTGGGTAGTTTCTGTTGTCATTATGATTGGAAAAGAGTCAACACAGTTGACTGATAATAAATAGCTTCATCCAAACACTACACATGAGTGAAAGAAAGGTTTTCATGTTATCATTCATATTCTCTGAAAAATGGCCATGAAATCATAAATTCTGTCAGGGTATGCAAACCTTTGAGCACAACTGTATATATATATATATATATAT